TATATATATACAGAGAAAGAGAGACAGAGAGAGAGAGAGAGAGAGATTACCTTTCTAAAAACACACACAAAAAATAAATTAATAACATAGTTATATTATAGCAGAGAGTATAGTGTCTCTGGTCATAAGTTATAGCGATAAGCTAATGCCGCTGTACTGCAGGCTAGCTATCACGGAAAGTGGGTGATGTTTTAAATTGATTTTTAGAGGGGTCAAAGACGTCTTATTATTTTGACGCAGTTTATTTGAAAAACAATACGTACCCCCCAAACCCATTATAACTTAGATTATTATGAGAAGACGCACCGAACAATAATTTTTAAAAATACTTCGTTTGCACACTTTGACGAAGTTGCTTTGTCAATTTTAGCGGATCTCGGCAAGGCATCAGAAATATCTGGCAACTGCTCTTTGACCGACGAAGAAGTGGAAAGTGGTAGCGGCGACAACTTGTAACAACTTTCTTTGCAACTTGATTGAACTGAGAAGATGGCCTTTGCTCTAGCACAATACGGAAGCGGCGCCGTTATTACGGCAGTGCTGCACCCGTTTGGGTATGCTAAAGTACTAATGCAGGTAACCAAAAGTAGATCTAATATTTCCCCTAGATTCTTGATCTGAATCGACGTCATGATTTTGTAAATGTATGAAAAGATGAGGTCTGTCTTTGAGTCAAAGTTTGACCCAGCACCTGACAAAAGCACTGACTCAAACAAGCGGATAATTTTATAGAACGTCAGGAGTACGCCAGTGGCCAATATTTATAGTAACAGCCATCTTGTTTGACGTCATTGAGGGATTCCCACTTTGTTGTCAATCATGGTGGCAACAACCGCACGACGTACGTTGGCCTACTTTAGAGCTCTTAGTCTTCTTCTCAATTTACGTAGATCTAGTGTACAGCATCAGAAACGATCGGGGCAGAAGAAGGGTGCAGCACAATCACAGTCACAGAAAACCGAACCGCACAGTTCTGCAAGTTGCAAAGAAAATAGAATCTAGATATTGATCTAATCCGAGTCTGCCGGCTGCCGTGGTGCGGTCGTGTTGCCACGATGACTGACAACAAAAAGTGGGAATCCCTCAATGTCATGACGTCAAACAAGATGGCTGTTGCTTACTCTAAATTAAATATCGCCCAATAGCGTACTCCTGACGTTCTCAAATTATCCGCTTGTCTAACTCTATTCTCTTTCTGAGAGATAGGCATGTGTGTGGTGTCAGTATCGAAGTTGTCAAGATGTGAAATGAAGCCCCCCAAAGGGACTTCGTTTAGCTGGGAAATAGGAGAAGAGGGCCCTCTGCCATTATGATGCTCTGCTGGGTATGTGGACCTGACTGACTCGAAATCTTCAAGAAAATAAGGTAGCAAGCTGCAGGGAAAGAATTGTGACTGAAAGTAGTGAAAGTCAGGCTGGGATGGATGTTCTCCTCCCAAAGTCAGGCTGGGATGGATGTTCCCCTCCCAAAGTCAGGCTGGGATGGATGTTCCCCTCTCCTCTCAGGATGTTTTGATAGTAGTATAATTAGTAGGCCAATTTCAGAGATTTTCCTATCTTGGCCTAGCCCTCATGGTTGTCGTCAGACGTAAGGAATGTATTTGAAGTGAGTTTCTTTGTAAATCTTTTGCTGAACCCTAAGCAAGGGCTTATTTAACATTCAAAAGTCATCTACAGTCAAACCTGTAAAACGGAATTGCAAGGGAGCCAGAAAAAAATGGGTGACCTTATTTAGGCCACATATGGCCTAAATAAGCTAAACCCCCCTCCCTTACCTTATTTAGGCCACACCTGTGGCCTAAATAAGCTAAACACCCCTCCCTTACCTTATTTAGGCCACACCTTTATACAAAGTCACAGAAATATTCCTTTTGTGCTTATTGAGGTACAGTGCAGGGTGATTTTACCTGCAAGGATAATTGGACAAAATGGGCAAAATCTTTATTGCTAATGGTCATATTTAGACAAATCCTATATCATTGTCTTTTTTTTTCTTAACTGCTCATGGTTATTAAAGAGTAAGCCAACTAGGTAGTAATTTCGGATTCCTAAGACTAATATTATGGGCATTCTTAAAAATTTTTAACTTGTTTTTAGCGCTTTTCTCAACGTAAAACGGATTCCGTAAAAAAAACAATGACCTTATCTTTCTTTTTCAAAGTATTGTGCATATATTTGTGTGAAACTATATATTCTATGCTTTCATGTACATGAAAAAAGCTAATAAAGGCAAGTAAAATGTTCTTCAGAGACATAGATCTAGTAGTAGGCCCACTGAATTTTTTTTATAAACCGGGAAAGATGACCAGAAAATAACAAAATTATTTTATGATCTTCACTTGCACTTGCAATTTTTTTGATAAATTATAGTCTACCTCATTGTCTTTTTTTTCCATCATTTTTCTTCACTATTCATGACAACTGGCATGTATTGTTTTCAGTTATTATCAAGAAAGTGGATAGGCGGACTACGGGGTCTATCTAGCCAAAAGGATAGGTGGACCCCGTGGTCTACCTAACAAAATGCTAGGATTTAGGATGTGAACCCCGGAGTGAGCGTAGTGAAATAAGTAGTAGATCTAGGTTTAACTAAGGATTGGTGGACCCCGGGGTCAACATAGTGAAATAAGTAGATCTCAGTTTATTTTATAGTAGGACTGGCGGAGCCCGTGGTCAACGTAGTGAAATTATAAGTAGATATAGGTTTAATTAAGGATTGGTGGACCCTGGGGTCAATTTAGTGAAATAAGTACATGTAGATGTAGGTTTAATTTTAAGGATTGGTGGACCCTGGAGTCAACGTAGTGAAATAGGTAGGTTTACGGTGGACCCCAGGATCTACCTAACGAAATGCTAGTTAGGTTTTTAGAATAGGTGGAACCTGCGGTCACCGTAGTAAAATAAGTAGGTTTAATCTAGGTGTCCCGGGGGTCCACCAATCCTTAATTAAACCTTCTTATTCCTCTACGGCTATGGTGACTCCGGGGTCCACCAATCCTTTAAAAATTAACCCTACTTATTTCACTACGCTGACCCCGGGGTCCACCAATCTTTAAAGAAACATACTTATTTCAATACGGTGACCCCGGGTCCACCTGTCCTAAAACCTAGTATTTCCCTAGGTAGACCCCGGGGTCCACCTTAAACCTGCTTATTTATCACTACGTTGACCCCGGGGTCCATCAATCCTTACTTAAACCAAACCTTATTTCACTACGGTGACTCCGGGGTTCACATCCTAAAACCTAGTATTTCGCTTTGCAGACCCCGGAGTCCACCTATTCTCTTCAGGACTAAACTATTATCAATTTGCAATTTTCATTGATTAGCATATTAAAAAAAAAAAATTGAATCAGAGACTCGCTGTCTAAAAAGTCCACTGCTAATGCTATTCTTTTCAAAGAAAATGGCACAATTTGATTTTATGACTTGTTGAAAAAAAGAGTTTTAAAAATACATGTTTATCTCGAAAACAACATAAAATTATTATATAGATCTCTCTCTCTCTCTATATATATATATATAGGTGTGTGTGTGTGTGTGTGTGTGTGTGTGTGTGTGTGTGTGTGTGTGTGTGTATTTTATTATGTATACTAAAAGACTGAGCAGAGGCTTACAATGTAAATTCTGAGCTCTACAAGTAGAGAAAATCTTAAGTTTGCGCAAAACAGATTTTAGAAAAAAAGTTGGATCTAATTATTCTAATAAAAGTAAAAGTGATTGTTATGCTAAGATTTGTTATTATTAACTCTGGAAATACAGTTACTTGCTGAATCTAAAAGTAACTAGAACTGTGCAATTCGTTTTATTTCAATTCCAAAGCCCAAAGGCATAGCAATAATAAGTTAGATCTAGATCTAGCAGTTGTAGGCTCTCTGGCTGCTTCTAGCATAGGCCTGCTACTACTGATTCTAGACAGGGAATCTAGATCTTGCTATCGTCTGCACTATTAAAGTCAAATATATGGTAAAATAAAAACAAAACTGAATTTTTTGTCAGTCAGTACATCCCAATTACCATAGCCGCACGTATTAATAGTTGAATAATGCGATACCGAAGCAACACGTTATCACAGTGTGCAGGGGAGAGCGAGGTGCTTGGTCGAATCGGTGGTTCGGCTTTTGTAGATCTATGCATTTTTTACGGAAAGCCCTATTACCTGGCCTATTACTAGATCTATTAGTGTTGTGAAAACTTCAACCTCTACAGCTCAGGCGTCAAAAGATGCTGGAAAATAATAATACGTCCTGAAGTTTCATAATTTATTTTTATACAGAATAACACAGTACACAGCCAGTAGTTTTTATTTCATCGAGTTATAAAAATGGCCTTCGTATAAAAATTGCCTTGTTTTCAGAAGCAAATTTTAATAGTTCTAGTTCTACCGAATCGATTTTCACGCGAATTCAACCATTTTGATGATCTTTCTTTTCCTTTTAAAAAAATGTAGATCTAGGCCTGTCGGATGTGGCAGTGCGAATAACACTGAGTTGTTTAGATCTAGATCCATCAAAACATGAGGCTTCGTGGCCGATCACAAAAGTCTACGGGGCTTATCGAGGCCGATTTGCCGTGCTGCGAGCACGTTCACTAAACTGCCTACTAGATAGAATCTACTACCAAATATTCTCTACACGATCTTTGCTACTACTACTACTAGGCCTACTAGCTTACATGTACTACTACGAGACAATACGAGAGAGTGTCACTCAGGCAAAGATAGTGTAACTTTGACTCAGCCACGTAGTGTACACACTTTTTATACCCCAAATTTAACCCGGAAGTCCATTCGGAGGATTTGACCTTTTCACTTGACCAAAGTGTGCCCCTTTTGCCCCTCCATGAAGGAAAAATCTGGCCCTCATTCAAACCATTGGGAGTGAGCAAAATTTTGCGTATTGTGCTTTGTTCTTTACAATATTCATTATGGTTATGATTTATAAGTTGTACACTGAGACAAAACCGTACTAAATGAGAAAGGTGCACCATTATGAAAGTGGAACGAACTCAGTTGCCTGAAAAGGGTAGTTCGAGCATGTGTGGCCTAAATAAGCTAAACCCCCCTCCCTTACCTTATTTAGGCCATATGTGGCCTAAATAAGCACTCCCGAAAAAAATTCCGTCTTCGACAGGGGAATTTGTAGGGGTGGAAATAAGATTTTCTCTGATTCTCTCACTCCCCTGGTGGGAATATAAAATTATTTTAGCCCCCCCCCCCCCCCCCATGGAAGAAAATTTTATTCCCACCTGGATAGAAGAAAACTAAATGAATTTATGTCCTTGTGAACCTTCAGCCATTTTTTAACTAAGGTGTGGTGTTCTTGTGCGCTTAATTTAGTTCTACTTTCATATTCATATTTTTTTGGCCTTTTTCTTTGCTTTCATTGAGATTGATTTGATACAACAGAGGTAAGCATTCAAAAGCTTAAAGTGACATTTTCCCCCTTAGCATTGGCACTCTCGTTTGAATGTGCTCAATATATCCAGACCCAGCATAAAATTGTAGAGGCGTACCAGTGGAAATATGTCTAATTCTCACCCCAGGTTTAGAGGTCGGCATTCAGACTGTATAACATCTTATAAAACTAGATCTAGATAGATAGGAAAGATGAGAAGTAATCCGACCCGGACGGGAATAACAAAAAAAATTGTTATTCCTACCCTGGGTGGGAATACTCACTTCCCTCCAGCTGTCTAAAAAAATGATTTTGGGATCAGGAACCATGAATGAATGAATAAATGGATTTTTTGTGAAAATATAATAGTACTTTACCAATTTGCGTAGTCAAGATTTATGTTGATGATGGGATTGAATGCTGTTTTTCAGATGGGCCATGAGCCGCTGCAGCCTGAAGTATCAACCACATTCTTTTTCCACAAACAGACCATGACATACCCAAACATATTCAAGTACAGTAAGTGACTGATGTGTTTTATTTCATTCTTTTTAAAATATTGTTCCTTTATGAATGAGAAATTATTTTGCTTTACCCTTTTGAACAGTGTTTTAGGTACATTTATGCCGTGAATTTGATAGAAATTTGGATTTAAAGAGGAAGGGTGAAAAAAGAGGTGATTTGGGAGTGGGGGCCTTGCAGATTGGTACATGTCAGAGCTTAAACGTGAGTGACATGCCCTTGAATTGAAAGGACTTCCGTAACAAGCAACAACCCCAACAAACACATTAAAAAAGAGACCTAACCCTTACCCTTACCCTTGGGCCTACCCTTACCCTCACCCTACCCCTACCCCTAACCCTTACTTTTATCCTTACCCTAACCCTTTGTTTCTTAGTGGTCGCTCGTTACGGAATTCCTCCCCATGAAACAAAAAAAAATATGACTGGTACTATTCTTTTCACCACTAATGCCATCTGCTATCCTCGGTATGTAATTGTTGAAAGCAATCATTTTCTTAACTGCTTTTTAGTTCTTGTGAAGTCGAGAATATTTTCAGGGTTCTAGATTTTTAAAAAAATCATCAGATGTTATGAATTACTTCTAAATCATACCACAAAAGTTTTGAAATCTTCATCAAGTTTCTGCAGGGTCAATGTGTGCGGTATTACTACTGCTGAATTGTTCAACTTCAGTTTTGTTCTTTTTTGGAAAACACCTTTTATTCATTCATTTCCTTGTTTTTTTTATTATGCAGTTGGACATATCAAGTATGTGGATGGATTTTGGGGTTTGTACCGCGGTGTATTTCCAAGAGTTCTGGCTGGTACCCTGGGCAATTTGGTCCAGTACAACATTCAAGATGTAAGAACATGCCTCTCTCTCTCTTTCTCTCTCTCTCTCTCTCTCTCTCTCTCTCTCTCTGTCTCTCTCACTCTCTCACTCTCTCTTTCTCTCTCTCTCTCTCTCTCTCTCTTTTTCTCTCCCCCCCTCCCTCCCTCGCTCCCCCATCCTCTCTCTCTCTCTCTCTCCCTCTCTCCTCTCTCCCTCTCTCTTTCTCTCTCCTTCTCTCTCTCTCTCTCTCTCTCTCTCTCTCTCTTTCTCTCTCCCTCTCTCTCTCTCTCTCTCTCTCTCTCTCTCTCTCTCTCTCTCTCTCTCTCTCTATCTATCTATCTCTCTCTCTCTTATAAAAGTGTGAGTTTTACAGCTCTTGCAACAAAGATAGATCACGTAATTGCCTGTAATGGTGTAGAGGAATGGGAATGTTCTTTGAATTGATTTCTGTTACTAAAATATTTTCATAGCCCACTGATAACGCTTCATTGTATTGCTCTCTAGAATGTTTATCTTTTCTGTCTTTTTTTTGTTATTCTGTCCTTTTTCTCTCCAAAATTGGCAATACATTGTGTCTATATATTTGAAGTGTTGATTTCTTTCTTGAAAGTTAGTCAAACCTTTTGAGACATCAAGATGTCAAAGAATATGAGGACCAAGCGATCTAGGTTAAAAGTTTGCTTCTTTCTGTTGGCATATCATTCAGTAAGAATTTGATTAATTTTTAGTTCTTATTCTTATATCTACCCTACCTTTAAGTTTGAGTCAACCTGGATTGATTTTTATCCAAATTACTGTCAGTATCTGTTATTTATAAAGATATTCATTGGAAGTATCTTTTTTTAATGTTTCAGAAATTCAAAGCTCTTAGAGATCAGAAACCTAAAGGTGAACGAGTGAAACCAGAGGACGAGGATTTTGTTCCATGGCTGCAAAACTTTGCTAAGGAGGTAGACCCATTTTGGTTTTATGAATGCTGTGGTGTGTTTGCTACTATACTTTGAAGATTATTAGTGTTTATGCATGCTAGTGACACATGAAATAATTTTAAGGGCCACTGTTTACTTCTTATTCAATTGTGACTGTTTTCGCTGGATATAAAAAACTGGAATTGATATTTCCACTTGTTGCATAATTGTTCAAATATTTTATTTTGTGGTGTTGATCTCATTATGATAACACTAAAGCTTAAGGTTCAAAGCAACTTTAATCAGAGAAACTTTTGAGTCGTTTGTTCATTGTTGTTGGTTGTAGTAGAGGTCGTCTTAGCTTTGTCATTGGAAAAAATCCCAAAAACATACAGGAGTCCGCTTAAACTGAAATCTGCAGAACCATGAGATTTTCTTAATTTTAGCAGGGTTTCCGGTTTATAGAGGTTGCTCAGATAAAACAAGGAGGAAAAATTTAGTTTTTTATTTTCTTTCAGTATATCGCTGTTTTCAGATTAAACATGTTTCGTTTTTGTGGACTCTACTGTATGTTTAGAACTTGGACTGGTTGTGACTACACAATACTGCCTTACTTTAGGTCACATTGCTGGACAATACTTCCACATTTTAAAATGTTTTCAATTGCTTGAAATCTATACAACATTGAATCACCTCATAGAAAATATTTTTTTCCAGTGCATTTTCTTTGTATGGTTGAGATATGAATGGTTAAGTAAATGTTTGCGCTGTATGTTTCGAAGGAGCAAAAAAAAATGTTTCTGAATGTTTTAGGGTATATTCGGGTAGTATTGGTAGTAAAGTGCAGAGATGCTGTAGAGGGGGGAAATACACCCTATACATGCATTTATCATTAGTATCATTTATTATTATTAAGGCTTCCAAAATGGTCCCATATCACTGATAAATTTCTGTCTTACCTCTTTCCTCAACCCCCACTACCACCACCACCACCACCACGCACCACCAACCAGACGTCAGAGGATACTCTAGCTCGATGCTGTGGTGTCATCGTCAGCCATCCCTTCCATGGTGAGCGTCTTGTTGTGTCAAGGTTAATGGTTATGTTGTCTTGGCTGTCAACTAGTTCACGAAAAAACGTGTTGAAAACTTCTTTGAGGTCATTGTGTTTTCGTATGTATTCTTTGTTTTCTTGTACTGTTCCTCTAGGATTTGCAAATGCGAAAGAAAAATTGGGAAATTCCGTCAGGACAGAATTAACGAAGAACGTTGGAACACAAAGCCTATAGATGTCAATCTGAGTTTGGTTTGTTACCATTGTTAGAGATCTTTGTGTTATATTTCTCACATTAGTTATGCAGATCTGCTGTGAATAACTTTAATTTATTGCGTTAATTAAAGTGTGTGTGAAGAGTTTGGAGATTACTTGGCAGATGTCTTCCATATTGACCTGCAATGTGGATAGAGTGGGGTTTGTTTTTGTTTTGTTTTTTTTGGGGGGGTTTGTTGTTGTTGGGTTTTTTTTACTGTTTACAACTATGATTATGCTGTTGGTGGGTTAGGTTGTTATGTCGCTTTGCTGGAGCTGTGTGTGTGTTGTCGTGGAACGGTCACTTATTGTGTCATTGTTGGAGCCTTAACTTGTGTGTCATTACTGCCATCTATTATGTGCCTGGGCTGGAGTTGTACTATCATTTTTGGTGTAGCCGATAGGCATTTCACCGACGAACATGGAACACTTGAGTTTAGTTCAGTTCTTTGGAAGGGATAATTTTTATCGAGTGTCTGCGTCTTTCTGCTTGGGTGTTGCATCCTTCTCAGCCCCGGTGACTGGCAGGGTCAAACCCTTGCTTGATTTTGACACATGCGGTTTAGGGAACACATTTTAAATCATAATCACATTCAGGGCATAATATAGTGCTGATCATGCAGTCATGAACACTCTGTCCTCCTCTGCCCCCAGTGATCATGGTGAGGTCAATGGTGCAGTTTGTGGGCCGGGAGACACAATACAAGTAAGTTTTGTCTCTTTCTTCTCACTTTGAGATTAATATTAGTCTTGATGATTCAAGATTAGTGCTAGGGTCCAGTTAGTGTCAACTCGATCAATTTAGATGTTTACATAATATTAAGATTTTATGAATTCATGATTTTTTAATATTATAATATAGCAGCCTAATTTCACTGTAATACCAATATGTAATTAATGCAGAGGGGTGCAAATGAACTGTTGACAGAAGGTTTGATCTATGCAATACAACAAGGGATGCCGTTTTTCCTGGGGGGGGGTTCCTATTACTTCTGTGACTTTTTCTTGGGAAAAAACAGTCATTATTTGAAAAATTTGTTTTATGTAACTCCATATTAGTTGTGTGTTTTTTTGTTTTTTTTGCAAATGCAATGTAAATTTCAGGTATATTCACAAAATCTTAGTGGTGTATACCTGTACAACTTCTCACTCTTGACTGAAATGAGATGTTCTCTGTCTAATCCTTTTTGTGTTTTTTCCTTCATCATAACTTGTAAAAAAAATAAACGAGAAATCTAAACAATTGTAATATCTTTGTAAATTTATTTTTCTCAATTTCAGCACTGTGTGGTCTTCAGTAAAAGAAATTTATGAGCACGACGGTATCCTGGGATTTTTCTCGTAAGTGCATGGTCTTATTGTTTAGGTTTTCACATTTGTTAACCCCTTGGTGGCGTATGGTTTTTCCAACTTTTACCGCACCCAGTGTTTGCTAGCCAAGACGTTCAAAGTTATTGTAGTGCAGTTATAAAATCCCATATGGTGTATGAAGTAAGGTCCATGCTATTGCCGCAATCGGTTGATTTTAGGACGTACATTGTACGTGAGGACGGCATTTTGGCACACAATGTTGGACATAGGGTGTACAGGAGCTATCACGAATGGGTTAAGAGAAATTTTATTTTGCAATTTAGGCATTTTACCAAGTGGATCAGTTGCTTTTCTGTTTCCCCATCATAAAATGGTTATTGTTGTAATGATGTATTTTAGTTTGGGTTAGTAACTTAATACTTTTACAGCACTTGCAACACAAATAGGTCAGTTGAATAAAAATGTGAGAGAGAAAAAGGAGAGACAAGAACTATAGATGTTTAACGAGAAAATACGGTCAGCTACTCACTTTTGTTTGATTCCCCCCTTCCTCCTCCGCCCTTCCTCCTCCCTCCCCCTCCCTTCCTCCCTCCTCCCTCCCCTCCTCCTTCCTCCCTCCCCCTCCCTTCCTCCCTCCTCCCTCCCCTCCTCCCCTCCTCCCTCCTCCCTCCCCCTCCCCAGGGGATTGATACCGAGACTTATCGGGGAGATCCTGACCATCTGGCTGACCAGCTTCCTGGCTCAGACCATCAACAAATACCTGGTCCAGGAGAAGGTAAACTGACCACAGCTTTATTTCCCACAAGGCAGACAACTGACCTTGTATGTCACTAGTCACTCATTTTTTCTGTTGTTGATGGCACCAGCGATAGAAAAAGGGATCGACACAGGTTGCTAGGGTTTGTTTATTATGCTTGACTCTGACTTGGGGGGGGGGGGGTTATTGCCAAGGCTTTTTATTTTATTTATTTTTAAAAAAAATTTTGGTGCTTATTTTGGTTTCTGGACGCAAAAGGTTTTATTTAAATTTTACGGATCACTCAGAAATGCAATTCCCAAATGGCTTACAGAATTATGAAATCCCTTTCTAATGTAAGGGACACGCATTTTTATTGTGTTACTGTTATTTATGGTTAAAGAGTATTTTAAATTGTAGGCCATCTAGATAAAAGTTTATATTTGAAGCTACAGTAAAATCTCGATATAACATACTCCCTACATACCCAAGATTCTGGACATCTCGCCGAAAAAAGAGTAGAAATGTGAAATGGGATTTGAGGTTTCAGAAAGTGAACGTGCAGACGATAATACTCATTTTAAGCTGAGTACATTATACGGATGTTTTACTGTATGCATTAATTATTTGTAAAATGCTAATTTGTCGAAAAACCTTTTTTATTTGTCAGGATCTGAAATCGTACACTGGAGCAGCCTGTGGGGTGAGTGTCTACATCATGGATGGGTTTTCGTGTTCTGCCCTATGTTTATTAGAACCAGATGTCACACTTTTTCGTATTGCCATTATTAGTTTTTATTTCTGTAGTTATTATTTTGGATGGTAGAGTGAGAAAAGAAATTTTTTTTTCTTCTGTACTGCCCTGAACACACCGGGTATTCTGTCTGGCCCTCTAGTGGGGCGGAAAAACTTACACAGAATTTTGCTTTCAATGAGTTCATTACATATTATCTGATGTTTCTGTGAAAGTCTTTACAGATAAAGGATAAAAAATCTCTAGAGCTCAGAGCAAGAAGAAAGGGACAGGGTTTTTTTTGTGGTATCAATAATGTGTTGAGAGGAGAGTAAGCTTATACAGTAGTCTCTGCTTAAGACACCAATGCTTGGGAGATATTAAAATATGGGGATCTCAGATGCGAATCAACAGGGGGAAGAATCCGCTGTGACTTATGTTAAGGCTCACAGTCGGTAAAATGATCTCCCCTTTTTTATAACTTATGAAGAGCAAATCGTGGTTCGCTTTGATGACGAGCCATAAGGGTCTCTTCTTACTTTGATGAGGCATGCTGTTTTAACTTATCCAATTGTGAATCTCAAGATCTAGGTCAATCTCATTGCTGCTCCCCTTAACCTGTCCAAAATTTATAGCTTTCCATAACTGACCAAGTTTTACCCTCATGCCATAAAGCATCACTGTATCGTGACCGCATCATTTAAAATTCAGAGAACGAAAGACAGGTATGCCACCAACAGATGACCACAGTACACAAAAGCGATCATACAGGCCACAAATATGGATGCCAGTATGTCTAGCAAAAAACAGGGCGCAGAGTTGGAAAATAAAGTGCGATGGTCAGAGAAACAAAAGTATCAACGAGTTCTTGGTTCGATGTAATCCCATCTGATGCGAACTTGTAGTGAGGCCGTACCGTCCCACCCTCCATGGGATGTAAGTCAGCCTGAGGGCTCAAATGGGAGTGAGATGTTTGGGGCAAAAGAAATACGTCAACAAGTTCCACATCTTGGCGTGACCCACTTATCAAGATATAAAACGCATGTGAGATCTTATTCATGAAAGCGGATGATCTGTGACGCAACGTTTAGTACAATGACTGCTAATTTTCACTACTTAGTTTATTGGCTGCTCGTGCCTTGGTTTTTGTTGGTTAAATTAATCCTTTTTTTTTTCAAGGCAGGATCTTGGGGGATAATTTTTGTGCAGTGAAAATTTTGATTTCTTGAAACAGTGGGGTCTTATGCGAACTGGGATCATAAGTGGTGGTATCATATGCTGAGACTACACTGTTAAAGCTTTTGTTCACTTTTTTAGAAATTGTTTGTTGGTTGTGAGGATGGTAAGAAGATTGTTGTGTTCTCGTTTCAGCTGGTGGTGTCGCACTTCACGTACCCGTTCACCTTGGTGACTAACATCATGGCAGTCAACAACTGCGGGTGAGTCTAGTTTCTGCATAGCTGTGATAGTGGGTAGTTGGCAAGTGCTTCTTTGCTCCTTCTTTCCCATCAATTATCAACTGTCCTTATCTTCTCATCTTTATTTTTTTTAAACATGTTATACTGTAGTCGTAACGCCTTTAATCTTCAGCGCTAAAGTGGCCTATTTGTGTTGCAAGTGCCGTAAAACTAAAAGCTGTGACCATAATAATTATTATGCTGTGGTCATCACATGTTGAGAGTAAGCACAGCTGCACTGTTAAGCTCCACCATCTGAACTATTCCTAGAAATCCGGGGTGATTTCATGGCTTTTTTGTAGAGGTTCAAGGAAAGAAAAATTATTATTGTCATTATTACTATTATAACTATTGTTATATTTGTATTGTTATCATTATTATTATTACTATTAATTTTATGTTTTTAAAGAAAAATTAATTCCATCTTTTTGGACAATAAATATCCCTTGTTCCCTCAATTAAAAATATCAGTCAGAATTAAAAGACCTAGCTTCTGATCTGTTACAAAGAAAGATACAGAAGGTCATTATAATATCTTGTTATAAGTATTCATATGGACTTAAAGAACATGCATCAAAAGCTTTACATTATTATTGTTTATATATATATATATAATATATCTCTATCTTGCCCTTTTTAACTCCCAGTGGAGCATAGGCCATCCACATTTCTCCAGCGAAGCCTGTCCTGTGCATCCTTTTCTAGCTGTTTCCATAATGTCTTCCATTTCCGCTTGTACCGCTCACCTCCATGTCATCTTTCATCTTCCTTTCTAACGTTTTCCATGTGGATTCCACGTCAAAGCCTGTCTGATGATGCTTGTCAGGGGTGTGCTCAATCCATTTCCATTTCTTCACCTGCATGTCTTCCTTTACTGGCCTTTGGCTTGTTCTTTCCCACAGTTGAGCATTTGTGACTCGATCGTACCACTTGATCCCCACTATCCTTCTTAGACATATTGTTTATATCACTGTTCATTTATATTATGTATATATATGACTGTGAGCCTGTTTGTGAGTGCAAGCATACTGTGTGTGTGTGCATGTTTGTGTGTGTATGTGGGGAAACACCAAACCAATATGCCAGGATCTGGACCGTAAAGATGTATCTTATCTTATCTTATTATTACTGTTCCCTCCGTAGACTGCGAGCCAGCCAGCCCCCAATGATGCCTGTGTACAATGGCTGGGTGGACTGCTTGCGCACTCTGGCGCAAGAGGGCAACATCAAGAGAGGCGCCAACGCGTTTTGGCGCACCTACAACTACAAGCCAACTGGTGTGGCCGCCTATAAGTTCCAGCCTCAGGGAGCTGCCTACCCACATAATTCTCCCGCTTTCAGATAATTCTGCTATAGTGTCGTTCTGTGTGTGGATCAGAGAGGGAAGGGAAGGGTGTCTGGTTTTGTTAAAATGTGAGAGGCATCTTGAACAAGGGTAACTGGTGTGCAGATACCAGTGCCGTTTGACTCAGACTGTTTGTCATTAGTTTGTCCACATTTTCTGCAAAAATACCTTGTGAAAATGGCTTATTCATACAACTCCCGTAAAAGTGTTATTTGCTTGCATTATATTTGTAAATAACTGAGAATTATGTGAATTACCTTAGAGCTAAATTGTTAACCAAAGACTTCTACCTGTCTTATTTTTCATAATATTTTGTTCAGACCATTGTCCATCGTAGTGAGAAGCGAATGATGTTCGGAAACTTTGCAAAGTAGCCTACATCCTGTGAACCTAGTGTAAGGGAGGAAAAAAGTGTAAAATGCTTTTTTTGAATGAAACAAATCATAACTGTAAGACATCATCCTGTTGTGATTGTGTTTGGGGTGTAGGTCAGAATACCAACATCCCATCAATCCTTCCAACATATCATTGATTATTGTCTCCAAGAACAGACCAGGGCATTATTTTACAGAATATGTCAAATTGTAACCTTGGTGATGCTAAAAAGTTTATTGAAATGTTTTATTTACCTATATACATGCAAGCATGAAACTACTCTTCTTTTCCTTTTATTTTCTAGGTTGGAAATTATTAGTTCTGTTTCTTGTAATAAGCGGACGTTCTTTTGCTTGTTTTGCCAAACATGGATGATGTTGGTTTGCAAAGAAGGGTATGTGAAATATTCTTTGAGTCAGCAGCATTTACTTGCCCTTGTCTGATATAAAATCTTGTGATAAATCTGTGAAACGATCCTTTGTACCATTTCATGTTATGTTGAAAGAGAGTTGTTGACTTGTCTAGTTTGGTTGCTGTGAGGGGAGTTTCGCTGATTTTTATGTCTAGACTGAACTCGGATGTCTGTTAAGGATGTCTTTTTCTATGACTCAGTTTTGTTGTCAGTTAGTTTCTACAAGTGTTCTGAAATTTGCTGGTAAAGGACTCATGTGTTTTTTGGGAGAACACATTTTACTAAGCATGAGCTTTGTGTATTTTCTATGGTACTGCTGCAATGGCAGGCCTATTAACTAACACTAACAGAACAAAAACACTGGTCTGTGCCCAAAAAAAAAAGTAAGTGAGGCAGAGCGGCTTTCTCTGCCATTTTTTTGCAAACATTTTCTTGACTCTGTCTTTGTCTGTGGTGTTAGTGATCCTTTAATTGTGCGGGGGGGGGGGGGATATTAAATGTTGAAATTACCATGAAACGAGATGTAAACTATCTATACATAAACCTCCTGGTGTGGACGGCTGATTAATTAAATAAGCCATAAGTTTCGTCCAGTGGTGTCAAGGTCCATTTAATCAGCCGTCATTGGAGTTGTTATTTTGGTTCATTCATCACGTTTGTTTTTAATTGCCAAACATTTTAACTCCTTCACAAATGAGCTGTACTTCCTATATTCTTTCATTCTACTTTCTGAAAATATATAGGTTTTTATGGTCTCTACTTGTGTTTCTCTCCCAGAGTTGTCTCACGTTGTTCATAGCAGATGTCTCTGAGAGATGTTCTTGATCTTGGCATGCTCTGACTACATGTAATCTTAATTGGACCAACAATTTCCCTCATCGCTGTCTGTCTGTCTGTCTCTCTGTCTGTCTCTCTGTCTGTGTCAACTTTTCTCTTTTCTGCCGGTGGTTGACAGGCACTCTGGTGTGGTTCGCTCCTTCTTCCTTATGAGACATCTTGTCTATCATCCTTATAATTTATCTCTCTTCCTTTTCTTTGTGTTCTAGTCTCTAGTAAAATCTCTAATCTTCGGCTCTTATATATGACCTGTTTGTATTGCAAGTGCCTTAACTTAGAGCTCTTGCCTAAACAACAAAAAAACGCTCGTGTCTGTTTGTCTGTCTGTCTGTTTGGTCTCTGTGTTCCCCTGTTTGTGTCTATCTGTTTGATCTCTCTGTTCACATGTTTGTCTGTCTGTCTGTTTGTTCTCTCTGTTCGCCTGTTTGTGTCTCTCTTTCCTCTGGAGCAAGACTTTTTATTACTTTTTATGAAAACATTTCTTTGGGTAGATTTTTTAAGTTTAAGTGATGGTCAGCACATGCCCCAGTCACTCTTTCTTGGCACTCTGCTCTTCTCTTGTTTTTAGAGAAAGGATGTTATAATATATAGAGAGATTGTAAAGCAGACACATCTTGCTGTTTAGTGGGGATATGTGCTATACAAATGCTAACTATTATTAACTCTCATCTTGTTTCTAGAGAAAGAATTACGATTGTAAACCGCATAGAGACTGCTGTTGAGTGGAGATGCGCTCTACAAATGTTATTGATTATTACTATTATTATTAAATGTAGCTCCCTGTGGGCAAATAGAAAAATTCTTGTCTGAGTTTTGATTTCAGCTCAGAATGAATATTTTTGTTCTCCACGTAGGCTCTTATTATTACACTCTTGATGAAAAACATTATTATAGTGTGAGCATGATTTTGGCCATTTTGGAAAATGGGGTCTTTAACAGATGATAGGCTGTTTAGTCAGAGCACATTTCTCGCCGGAGAACAACTTAGACAATAGCGTAGCACACTTTCTCAGCGTAGTGTAGTTTCTTTCCAAGATCAACAAAAGGAGACTCAAGCACCTTGGTCATGCAAACAGAAACCTGAAAACAGACTTGATGACAACTGTGCTACAAGGCAAAATAGAGGCAAAGAGAAATAAAGGAAGACCTTCTACACCATTCACTGAAAACATAAAATCTGACAGTGGTCAGTCTACTACTTCATTAAATGATACATCCAAGCAGAGACCGGGGAAAATGGAGACCTGTTGTGACAAAGTGTGGCCCACCAACGGACAAGTGCAGCCATGCGCACAGGGGACCTGTGAACCTTGGCAGCACCATGAACTTTCACATCAGCTTCTCACACCAAGGGCGCTCCGCAGGCTCGGTCAGTATCATGCTGGACTGTGCAATATATGGCCTTGGTTTGGATCCCAGACTGGGTAGGGAATTATTGAACTTGAACTTGAAGTGTTTTGTGGAGTTTTCAAGGTTCCCAACCCATTTGACTTGGTTCTATCAGAGACACGTTAAATTTGGAGGTGCCGCCTCATAAATAATTAACATATATTGTTGGTGGAGAAGTTGAACCCATACATTTTTTGTTTTTGTTTCTCATACTCATACCAAGGCCCAGAGGACCCTACAGTCAGATCTAGAAGAAGGAAAGTTTATTACACGAAAATTAACTGTCTTTTTGTTTTTTCTCCAATCACTCAGTTGTGTGTTTAGTGAGTCAAATGAAAAGATTGTTGCTGAAGTCTTTTGGAGGGGGTAGACCGTAGAGTGTTGACTACGTTATGCCTTGTTTATGAAGTGTGTCTCTAATGGGCAACTGTAATGTCTGTGACTTGTTTGATTGCTTGTTTGAGTGGTCTTGGATGTGGATGGTGAGGCCTATCCTAACAGCTTTTAATGCTCTGTTGCTCATACATATTTATTTTCTTGATCTTTCATATATATATATTTCTGTTTGAAATTCCATGCAAGTTGTAGTATTGTCAATTGCTCCCTTGTACGTACATATAATAGGCAATGGGTTTAACATTGCTTTTAGTAAATAAAACAGACAAGTGAATTACTCGTTTTATGAAATTGAATAGATTTTTAATTTTGATCATGTTTTTGTTTGGAGTAAACAATAAATGTGATAGATCTCTTGTTTGTCATTGTCACTCACTTGTTTAAATTTGTTGTGCACTGCTGAGTTTTACTCTGAGAGGATATATTGCTGTGCACAGCGACAGCTTACACTTACATGTTTTAATTTTAAGTCATCCTCGGTCTGTCTGAACATAGATCTACATGTTTTCGCTTGTGTAGTAATATGTGAGGCAGCGTTGTGAAATGAGGCGCTCGTCAAAATAACGAAATCGGAGAAACAGGCGTCTTTCCACCAGTATGGAAATTTTTATCCGATTTTTATTTTTGGCTCAACCCCTTTTATGTCCATATATATATAAAAACATATTTGACTGAGAAGCGTTGATTAAAGTCACAAAAAATGTCATTTTTCAGTTTTCAAGGACTCATTAGCTATTGGAGCTACCAAACTTGGGCGGCCATTTTCTTGCTTATTTCACCACAGAAACCAGGCAACCTCACCTCTTTCAATGGGAAATATCTTGATTTCTATTCTAGATAGATGGGTATTTTTTCCACTAAAAGCAAAGCAAATGAATACGCTTTCAGATGATACCAATAACTCCACACATCCAAAAATTGACGAGCGCCTGGTTCCCTCGAGTCATGACACATGTGTGAAATTGCAGAAGTTGTAAGTCCCCATCAACACAACTTCGAAAAAAAGTCATATCATTAAAGAGATAGGCTTCTATCCTGCCTGTCAAGGTCAGCTGGGCTGAGAGGGCTATTATGTCCCTGCAGACAGACAGATACACGATAAAATTATTCTCCTCACCCGGGAGTCAAACTCGCATCTTGTGCCTGGGACAATGAAGTGCCTTGCCCTTACTGAAAGTTACTGTACACCACAGACACCGGTATTTATTTGTATGCAACTCTTTAAAACATCCATCATAAAGTCACCGTCACAGAAAACTGCAATACTGTTTGGCTGAGCTGTACATGTATAAGTCTTTCCCTGAGTGCTACTGTCTCTGGACTGTGTTACACGTACTGTTGTTCTCATCTTGTGCATTTGCGAGCGCTGTAACCCCCCCCCCCCCCCCCCCCAAAAAAAAAATTAATTGAAAAATCGATTTACAGATTAAAATAACAATTCTCGTCTGAAGCGGAATAGTTATCTTTTAAAAGTGAGTTTGTCTTTTTAGAGACAGAATCAGTGGCGGGGCGCCATTGGTGCAATTGGTGCAAGCGCTCCACCTAACCCTGGCCTTCACCCCCCCCCCCCTTTATAATTGTTCTAAACCAGTCAGAGCTCTAGATCTACACTAGGCCTACTAAACCCTTGTGATCCGTCACCCACTGGCTGCGCAAGTGAAGAGACAGACGGCAAGGATGGTTTATGCTCCTCGCACCGCGTGCGGTAGTGTCTGCTGGGAGTATGCAAAATCTTTGCACCAAAGTTATTTTTGTCACTATAGCGAAATCTAAGCATCGTTCTTCCCGCACAAGAAGAAAGATGTATGAATGAAACGGCTCTTCGCAGCACCAATTTGGTGCAAGCTAAAAATTTGATCCAAGTTTCCGCGATCCTATCTATTACTATTACTATTACACTGGTAGAGTCTACGGTAACTCAATGAAGAATGAGTATCGAAACTGTCTCCCTCTATTGCATAGCAAGTCCTGGTGCTGCACGAAGTAATCAGAAGTCTTTAAATCTTCTCAGATTGTGAGCATTTTGAGTTGTTGGTATTGTTTCACTAAAATCGATAGATGTAGATTACAGGATATCCTGCAGATTCTGATTGACTTTCTCTAGCAATCTTAATAGTAGCTACTAAGCCTATTGCCCATTTGCTCACTTTCCAATTATGCTCCACCTTGTCTGCAACCCACGCGACGCCACTGGACAGAATTATGCTCAGCTAAATAGGCTAAAATTAAAAGACAGGCTTTGACGTGGAATCCACAAGGAAAACGTAAGAAAGGAAGACCAAAAATGACATGGAGGCGAGCGGTGCAAGCAGAAATAGAAAAGGCGGGGAAATCATGAAAACAGCTAGAAAATGGTGCACAGGACAGACTTCGCTGGAGAGTTGTTGATGGCCTGTGCTCCACTTGGAGTTGGAGTTAAAAGGGGCAAGAGAGAGAGAGAGAGAACAAGACTAACGGAAGGCCTAAATAAGTACTTGGACTGGGGATGGTTTGCTTCTTCTTTCCTTTCAAACTAAGTATCGTCGTCATCTCTCCTCCTGTGGGTGGTTGGCGGGTGCTCTGGTGTGGTTTGCTCCTTCTTCCCTATCAAACATCTATCGTCCTTATCTCCCCTTCTTCTTTTTTATATTTGTTACTCTCTTATAACACCTCTAATCTTCTGGCGCTCATATGACATTATGCATTTGCGAGCGCCGTAAAACCTCTACTAAAACTAAACTCTCTCCTGTTTTGTAGGTTGTTGGGGTTTTTTTTTTTGGTTACTCCCTTGTTGTACGGCAACACCTCTAATTTTCAGCACTTCTGTGACCCAATCGTTAAAAAAGTGTCGTAAAACTTTTACTAAACAAAAAAAGAGAAGAAAAACCAAACAAAGAAAAATAGATGGGATACAGCTGGACAGAGGTAGGGGAGACAGCGGCTCAGGACAGAAGTCCGGCACAAGATGAGAATTGATAAAGGCTGATGTCATTGATGATGATGAAGACTTCAAATGTGGGTGGTTGGCGGGTGCTCTGTTGTGGTTTGCTTCTTCTTTCCTATCAAGCATCTATCGTCCTTATCTCCCCTACTTCTTTGTTATGTTTGTTTAACTTTTGAAAAAGAAAACAGCAACAACAACAACAAAACATCTAGAATCTATCAGTCTGAGACGTAGTGGTTTGGCACTTCGCTGTCACGAAATAGGAGAACCGAGTCTTATTCCCAAGTAGGGAAGATTTCTATCAAATGTCTCCGTCTTTTCTGCTGGGATTTAGTATTTTTCTCAACTAAGGTTGACCCCTCTGGTTGACCCTATCGGGCAAGGTCCAAGCCCGCCTCCTAATAATCGATAACGATAATGCGGATAATCTCTTTAACGCCCACAACCCTACATACAGCTCCAGGTGTACTAGGGCACCAACCTTGGTCTTAAAAATAGGCTTCAACGATTAAATATGAACATGCACACAGGCTCCGTTTTATGCGAGAAAAAGTCTGAAATTATAATGCAGACTGAGCCCAAAAATGTGAAATTATGCGATTCTGTTAATTTTAAAAAAGAAAAAGGAAAATAATCAGAAATTATGCAAAAAAATGATCAAATTTTGCTAAATTATGCGGGGTGCATAAAACCACGGGGACATACCTACGCTCTTTAGATTAACGTAAACACACAAACGACAACTACCACTGATCACAGCGTTCGATAACGATTTGCACATTATGAATAAAAAGAATGCTATAAATAAATTTAAAGACTAGAAAAAAGAGTTATACATGTATAAATAAAATTAAAGACTAGATCCTCTAATTTATAGTGTCGTGTAAAAATCATTCACTAGCTTAATAAAAAAAAAAAAATCAGTCCACTGATGAAGCCATAATCGAGGTATGGATTCCTCAGCCACACACCTTTTCCCCCCAAAGCTTTACGTCGTGCAGTCTAGCAAAGCGGGTGGTTTGTGGTGACCACAGAATTCTACGTGTAGAATTCTGTGGTGGTGACTCCATTTACTTTGCTTACAGACTGTTATTATTTAAGTGTAGGGCACCGCTTAATCTGACTCTCTGTGAAATAATCCTGCCGGAAAATTTCTTACATTACAATAAACAAAACTAAGAGGGGTAGCTTTAAAAGCCCATTTCCTCGTCATGGACGTTTAAAAATGAATTAACTATAGCCTTATAATCAATTTACTTTATTTCATGGATTATTTTATCTTTAAAATTGTGATTTTTATTTTTATAATTTTGTTGCTGTTGTTGTTAGTTGTGGGTTTGTTTGTTTGTTTGTTGTTGTTGTTGTTGTGTTGTTGTTGTTGTTGTTGTTGTTGTTGTTTTTTTTTTTTGGGGGGGGGGGGCTTTAAAAAAGAAAAGTCTATATAATTACTAACAGGCTTACATAAACTACATCATGTCGTAATCTGTGTATGGAAAGGGGTCCTAAGATCTGGTGTAGTTTAAATTGCTCCTTCATTTCTATCAAACAACTATCCTTATTTTTCCTTTCTTTTTTCTGTTAGTGTTACTCTCTGTTGTAACATCTCTGATCTTGTGGACTTATGTAACCTTATTGTGATGCAAGTGCCGTAAAACGCTTACTATAATTTTAAAAAAAAGAAATACAAGGCAAGTAGAAAAGAAACATCGTGGCGACCATCAAGTCTTAGTGGGTTGACTCTTGCATGTCTGTGTTTTTTTAAAAGTATTTTTTTTAAATAATGAGTTAATCAGCTTGTGGGAAGGGAAGCTCAAAACTCCCAGAAAAGTGTGGATTAGATTAGGTCTATAAAAAAAGAATAAGTCAGTCCTGTAATTCCGTTTTCAATGCGTTGTGTGTTTGAGTCTCAATAAACGGACCTCGCCTAGCGTACTTTCTTTCCCTTCATAATTTTATTTTTAAAATCTCAAAGTTTGGGCTGCAAGTTCAGGTGAGTCAGCGCAATAGTATATCCCCCCCCCCCCCCTCTCTCTCTCTCTCTCTCTCTCTCTCTCTCTCTCTCTCTCTCTCTCTCTCTTTCTCTTTCTCTCTCACTCTTAACACACACGAACACCACATACTAACAGCCAGGCACGTTTCATGAGAATATTATAACCGGTGGGACAAAAGACGTACATGGAATGGAGCTGATGATTCAAGACCGTCTTCCAACAACCGATTGGGAAAGTGACAAGGGATGAAAAACTTGAAATTTCACCTGCTATAAATGTTCATGCATGCACTCAAGTTAAATTCTTGCCTGTCAAAAATGTTATGTGTTTCTTTTTTTTTTTCGAGCAAGTAATATATTTGTTTGAAGGCTTGATATTTTTTCTTCTCTTCATCGTTTCTCGTTGATCAATAAGAAGATTGAATTTAAACTACAGCCTATCCCGAAAGCAAAATCAGTGGGACGCGGAACGCTTTTCGCTAAGAAGGAATTTCGCAAAGTTTGTGTTTTAAAGAATAGGCCTACAAACAATAAAGGCCTACAAACAACAGGCCTATATTGTCATGTATAACAAAAAATTCGAGACTCTAAAATCTGTTTGCTATGTGCATACATAGCTATGTGCATGTTAGTAGGTATCACAGAACCCCCCTCACATCTAAACCCGGATTGCATGGCATGAAGACCAACTCAATAAAAATCTAAAGTCGTTCTTTTCACATCCACAGTTTTCAATTTATTCGTTCATTTGCCTCGACGACGGCACACTTTTTAACTATCTGGATTTTTTCCGGTATATAATTTTAATATTCTGTAAATATAATGTCTGATTGGTCTTTTGTTTCTCTTCACATTGATTTTTAGTTGATGAAATGAATTCTGTATGAACTTCTTTTTTATTTTAAAAAAATCAAGGTCTTAGTTAAACCTGTCTACGTTTGCTAATAAAAAAATAAAACAAAAACAAAAAAGGGACCATATCGGGTAAGGAGATCTGAACCTTATGAAAGTTGCAAATTGGCAAGTAAAGGCTGCGGTTGTTGGCAAAACGTATCTGTCCGTCCGCTGCTTTCATTTTCTCTGCTGTGAATGTGTTTCATCACATGTGCAGAAGGTCAGGACACAAAACAATAATAACAATAGTTTGAAACATGGATTTTTCTTCACCACCACCCGGAGGAAAGATGGACTCTGCTACAAGGGACCAGCTGATGAGTCAAGTGAAGCAGCAGATAGCACTTGCAAATGCACAGGAGTTGCTACAAGTTAGTAAGCCATCCATACCGGCACTGTTCACTGTTCATCAACACACAGTAGACTGAGTCTGAGTAGAGTCAGAGTAGAATCTACAGTGCTTTTTTGGCAGTTCCCACCCCTCTTATTTGAGCCGAGATCTAGATCTAGATTAGATCTACATCTAGATCTACATCTAGATATCTAGATCTACACGTTTGATGCGCGGTGAGCTAAGATATCAAACCTAACAACCGCAAAACATCAAATTATAATGAGGGGCATGCCCCCCTGCCCTGAAACCCTGCAAAAGTAGGCGCTTTTTCGCCGGTAGTTCCCACCCCGCATTTGTTATTCGCCGGTTTTGGCCCCAAGAGTAGGGGGGTTTCAGGGGGGCTTGCCCCCCTGACCTAAT